TACACTATTGTTACACGCTATTCAAGCAATACCTGAACAAAATTTAAGGAATGGTTCTCCAATTATATCTGAGGTTGAAAAGGTCATCTCTGACTTAAAAGAAGGCAAGACCTGATGGCATGAATTCACAGGTCAGAAACTAAATTTGATTGACGGAGTTGTGAGGCTGGTCAGGATGTATGTTACTCATAACGGACCACTACCTTCCTCGACAAGCTATGCTAACTAAAGTGGGATTACATTGGGAAAGAGTTAGACAAAAACATGTTGCCATTCTAAAACGTCTTTGATTATTGGTTTCAGCTACTCAAAAAAGTGTAGACTTTTCTCAGAATGACAAGAACCAATGACTGGAGTCTGTTTTGATGAGACTCGAAATATTTAACGATGGTGAGAATGTGTCTACTTTTCTCAGTCTTCCAGATTCTGAAAACCTTCACAGATTTCATCTTAACTATTTCCTTCCCCCAGTTATTTTTGTTCTTTGTATTTCATTCAAATTTTTTCTCTAAGTCTGTATTTACCTATATGTGCTGAAATTTGCTCAATGTTCTTCTATGATCGATCAGTCAACTAGTGGAATTAATGCGCTCCATGCTTCTACTTGATAATTCACCTTCAAAATATCGCAGAATATGAATGTTTACAGATTGAATAAAGTTTAATCACCTCGATCGATAAAACCTTAGTTTTTTATCCCAAAATGAAGAACTATCATGCAAAAATACTAATGACCGGAAAATTATCTCATTTCTTGAATAGAATGTTAAAAAAACACAGCTCACAAATATTAGAATCTTTGGTTTTTTTGAGAGTTCCATTCAAATATATCAAAGCCATAAAACTGTTTTAAGAAACCTTATACTTTATTTTCAGATGTGAGTAATTAGTGATATCATATCCAGTCTTCTGGTGGATATGAATTCTTCAGTTACATCGATAAACTTCATAAGGTGCAAAGTTGAAGTCAAGCACGGCTTTTTTCCGGATTGTCTTCTAAAGTCTAAAGGAGGAACCAGACAGTTCTTTTTTCTACATGAACGTTTACACGTAAATTCTTCTTTTCGTTTTTCATCTAGTGATAGATACGTATGCAATATTACTTGTACAGGTACGCTTGGAATTTCGCTGTTTCAGGGAAAAATGTTCCACTTTACTCTTTGTAAACTCTTTAAAAATGAATGGATTTCAGATTCTGATTCTGAATTCCTTCTTATGTTCAAGTGTTGGTTTGCAGGGATTTGGCTGGTTTAAGGATTTCACCATTAGCTGACATAAGTTAGAAGACCATTTGAAAACCTAGGAGTCCCAGAGAGCTCTTTCGTCACAGTTTCGGACTCTTCACATTACGCACCCATTACCAAGGTTCGGACCCAGGTTACAAGGTGAGCTCGTAGATCATTAAGCCACTGGGAGGCGATCCATCTGTCTTCCAACCGATGTCAGTTCATGACGAAACCCTGATTTCAATTAAATCCCTGCAAACCAACACTTGAATATCGATCTGATGCTCACTAATGACTGGCTGTATTCAGACAGGTGCTGGGAAGTCATGAGCAGTGGGTTACAGCAGGTCGGGTATGAGGACGAATACTCGTCAATGATCTCGCATTATAATCGAAGGTCCTGGGTTTGAACCTCAGTGGGTACGTACTGATGAGGAGTCCCAAGCTAGGGTGAAACAGCTATCCGCTACTCCCAGGTTTTCCAGTGGTCCTCTAGCTGACATCAATTCATTATGAAATTTCTCTAATGTATTGTTGAGACTCTCCAACTACTATACATTTACTCTCCACATGAAAAGCATCAGCTATCTCTGGTTTCGCTGTCAACACTTTTCATTATAATAAGAAAACCGGTGAAAGACAGGGTACAAAATAAAGCGTGGGAATACGAAGTTGCTTTTTAGTTAAACAAATGTTTGAAAAATATTTGGAAACATCGGAATAATAAAAAGTGAGGGAATTAGTGTGTGCTACGTCGAATTACACTCATGAGAACTGATTTTTCGTTGTTTAGAGGGTTTTTAATGAACTGACGTTTAACTCACAATAAATTTACAGGTTACAGTTTATTACCGCTATACAAAATTACACATGATACGCATAATGACATGTAAATGAGGTACATCGGAATAAATTGAGTGGGAGACTGATGAATTACTAATATGTACTTCTTGTCTAGTTGATGAAGGAATTCAGAACAATAAATTTCCAATTATCAAGTGTTCGTTTGTAGAGATTCCATTGGTTACAGGTTCGATGACGAGCTAATATCAGTTAGAGAAACTTTCGAAAACCAGGGAGTAGTGAACATCTGTTTCGTCCTCGTTTGGGACTCTTCCTCAATACTCTATAACTAACCAATAAACTCATTTCTGATAGCGTCTTATAAACTACAACTAATTACCCCTACTATATATTGATAAGTTTAAAGTACACTTTTTTCCTCAAATAACGTTTCGCATGGATAAAAGTAATAGCCGCCAAATAGTGAATACATGACTTCTGATCTTAAAATACCTAATAAGTTTTAAACCGTTGATTTTTTTTGTTTTCGTAAAAATTGATTCCATATCTTTAAATTGATAGTTAATATTTATACAGTAAATCACTGGTCTGTATACTGAATCAGATTTTATTTGTATATAGTGCAGATGTATAGTTGTTACGAATTTCAGTCATTTAATAGTGTTTCAGTTCATTAAAATTAGTATTTCATTTTATTATGGGAAAAAATTCTCTTCAGAATGCTTTTGAAAAGGGACAGTGTTAAATCTCATCGTCAAGATACTGACAATTGATTGAAACTGGTAAGCAGGTGAATAATCGAATATCCTATTCATAAAATCGCCTTTCATGCTTCACTTTATTACTTTGCAGTGTTTTCTTCAACAAGGCAATAAATAAAATTGCCTAAGTAGATTTTCGTGTCAAACATAAATTAACGCATCTGAAGTGATAGACCACACACAAATGTTAAGGAAATAAATAAACAAATAGCTAAATAAAAATCTTTCTCATATACTTGATATATATTTATTTATCTGAATTTTTTGAACTAAACGTATCTCTTAATCAATGAATAAATTGGTTAATAAAATAGGAAGGAATAAGTGACCTTCCATCTTGAAAACACTGATTTAAATTAAATGACTATCACTGAATTGTCGTCTACAGTCTTAAGCGTTTAAATTTCTCTTCTTTCATTTACTTTCACTATTTATTATTATTACTGTTTTCTTTAGTCACTAGAGGAACATAGAGCTTCAGCCTCACGTCTCCATTGAGTTCCGTTCTCGGCCAACGTTTTCACCTGGATCCACGTCTGCCCACATGCTTTCATGTTCTCTTCGCATGACCTCGATGTCATCCTCGCACCGACGACCAACTCGCCACTTCTCACTCGGGTTCCACTTGAGCTGTGGCCTGGCGTGTGATTTCACTTGATGGTTTTCTCAGAACATGGCCAATCCATCTTCATTTCTTCCTGCATATTTGTTGAACAATTGGTTCCTGCTGGGTTGGTTCGTTCGCTCCCAGAGATCCCTATAGCTGATATTTTCAGGCCGGCCACCTGATATTGAGTATTGAGCGAAGGTTACTGTTGATGAAGGTCTGTAGTTTGTTCGAAGAGCCCTTTGTGACGTGCCGAGTCTCTGATCCGTGTAGTACAAGTATCATTATGTAGAAACTTGTTAAATTCGACTTTTTCAGCTGGTTACCTCTGTTTCCACCATCATAATCATATATTTTCATTTACAGAAGCTGTCGTTGACATTAGAATACACCTAAATACACACTTAGCTTCAGGTTAGAATAAATAAATAAATGGTGAATGTCTCAATAAATTAATATATGTGTAAAACTTGGGCACTGTGGTAGTGAGTAATTCCATATTAGTTTTATTAGTTTATTAGATGTATCACACAGAGAAACAGTATAATTAACTGGATGACGTTTCGAACAAAATTTATTGTTCATAATCATATCGCTTATAATCAATAAATGTTGGTAGTTTCTGTTTTTGATTTTTCTTAACCTTTAGATTCTTTCAAAATGTTTTACAGAAGGAATTTTTTAAAACGAAAAAGTGCATTCAGAGCAGTTAAACTGCAAATGTATTTCTTATTGACGTAGAATGACAATACTTTGCAAAGCCAATCTATAAAATATATTTACATTTCCTGCATTTCTTCTAAAACATCACAATAGATAGAATGGTGCTTTTAAAAATTCTGGATAAATAAAAGTATTATGCCTCTCACTATTCATAGTTATGTTACGGAAAACAGGCTAATGACTATTCCACTTATACATTCGGCAAATTTTCCGTCTTTTAGAAATTCCCTTTAATAATATTCTTTTATTTTTGAGACTGGCTGTAGTTAAATTCCTGTTTGTACTTAATTTGATGATGCTTTTTATGTGCTGTTGTTGGCTTCTTTCGAATACACGTATGTCTAACAGGTAATGAGAAACTAAAATGCGTTTCCTAACAATGACATTTTTGAAGCTATTTTACCTCCAGTTAAACAGTCCTTAAACTTATCCTTTAGTGGTGTTAGTATTTACTTCCAGTTACATGAATGGTGTCTAAACAGCTTGTATTAGTTTAAAGTGGATCTATAATTTGCTTCAATAGAGTAGCTATTTACATTTCATGAGAAAATCGCTTCACGCAGCTTTCTACACAACAGACCGACTAGCTTTTCTGATATGTCAACTAAGTGAAAAAAAATGAGAACTAATTATTTGACTTCTTGGTGAATGTGTGACAAAAATAGATTATTCCTGCAGTAGGACATTTGCTGGAATGCTTCCAACAGCAAGTTACCCAGAATGTGAATGGAAAATTTAGCATCAGACGTCAAATTATTTATTGAAGCCGCTGCTTTATTAGACCTGTCTTTAAACTTTCCACCAATGTTTGTGTAACAGTGAATGATTGTAAAGTGTACTAGAATTTTTACATTTTTAAAATGTGCAAAGATGACTTACTTTTTACAGCTGAAGTACTAGCTACCTCGTCAAGACGCAATTACAAGGAGTAAGTTCTCCAGAGTGAAGATACCTTAAATGAAAGGGAAAATTGGGGAAAAACACTTTGAAAAATCCTAGGACAAATACTGTGAATTTAACTTAGAATTTCAATAGAAATTTTATAAATCATTGCACGGTACCTCTTATTGTCAAGATGACAATTCAGAAAATGCTTCTGTGGATTTACAGACAACTTGAAATGATGAATAAATCACTTTTTTAGCTGTAAAAAATACAGCCCATATTTAATCAGATTGAGAGATGTCATGAAGACATCCTTTGCAATATATGAGCCAATGAAATAATATAATGACATGACTCCTATTTTCACACCGAAACGTTGTCTAGTCCACTTCGAAATCATGTTAATTGGCATAAAAAGTAAATAAATATTTAAGTTATAAATTTGAAGACTCATTTTTAAGATTTCCGGTCTTGCATTTTAATTCAGTCAATTTATGATACAGTAGTACTGTGTTATGTGCTACTGAAAATATTTATCAGTAGTATGTAAGGAGACATTCATCTGTATACAAATATCAAATAGCAGGGAGATAGATTTGATTTCAGAGAAAACAAATGATACATCGTTGTGGAGATAATGGGAGATGGGAAATGAGCACAAATAAACAAAATATGAAGGCCAGGAGTACCGCAACACGAAGATCTGTACAAATGGTGCGTTGTAGATAAGGTGTACATGATTTGGGTATATAGAAACACCAATTACCCAAGTCTCTTGTCTTCTATCTTTACAGTATCAAAAGACATCTGAATAATCTAAGTACAATCATCAGTCATTTCTTTGATATCGAAAACTGAATTATTGGCACTTCAACTTACAAGATGACTTTGATAAATGCGCTTCTAATTACATAGACAGACAGTATTTCAAAGCAACTGTATTTTTTTTATTATGTGAAAGACGTGTTTAATATAAACTAAAAATATGAATGTACATCGAATTTCTATTTGTAATCTTCATATATTTTCCATTAGAAAATACAATAAGTGAAAATGATACTGGAGTTCGAGATATGATAAATACACTCTTATGTAATTTAGTCATCTGTCGAACTGTAGTGCAAGTTGATCCATAACACCTTTACAACAATTTCCTTACCACCAGAATTAAATATGTTTATTAAAATGAGAAATTTACGTGACTCTACTTTCGATTTTTACTTGTTAATATGAGATTGTGATTAGTAAGTAAAAACACCTAGTCCATTTTCTGTATAATTTAAAGCTAAATGATTAATTCGTCACGCCTTTCCATTTAATACTTAAAGGAAAGCCTTTTCAAAAGTTTACTAGCCATTTAATACCTCTTTAAAGATTACCTACTTAAGTATAATTTACACAACAATAAAATTAATAAGAAGTCAGAGACAATAGAAAAGACACTTAAACAAGAGATCAGGTCATATAAGCAAAAAGACTGTCGTTGGTTGAGAATGTACCAATCACTTAGCTCGTTAACTAGTTACTATTATTGTTATTATTATCATCAATACTACCATTGGTATCACCAACATCTATGTTGTTAATTCAAGTCTTCCATACTGCAAATAAAGTGGAATCAACTCATATTTGTGTAAATCTTATTTGCTGATTAGATTTCACAGTAAGTACTCTTCTGACTATTGCTCAATAATTCATAAGTATGTAGTAGTGAAATTAGCTTTTAAATAACAAGTAAAAACAAAACACTGAACAAAAAAAATACAACACAGTGATGTGATTGTGAAGAAACCCAGACCTGTACGAACGTTAATATGTAAACTAATAAGCAGGTATATTCCTCTTTGCAGAAATGACATTCCAAATTCGTTAATAACAAGAACATTGATGATAATAATCAGTCGTCAAGTTATGGACTAGTAATTATAGCCTGTTTAGGTATTCATCAGAAATGTAGAATGGTAAACAGGAGAATCCTTTTCCTGACTGGGAATAATTATTATTGACAATTGATAGATATCTTTTCTATTAATAATAATGACAGTCCTGTACTGATTTGTGTGTATGCCTTTTTATTGATAATGCTAAGAATGAATGATGAGAAACTACAGTAGGGAAGAAATATAATCGCAAAAGGCTCTGAAATACAAATAATCTGATAAACTATGACTGGATTAGATATTTGTACTAACTAGTGGACTGATTAATTATATGTGGAAATGAGTAACTATCACCATTTTGTTGTTATTTTTTGTTCTGATCAATCAATATTCATGAGGTCGTTTCTTGTTGAAAAAAGTGTAAACAATATTACAAATTATATGTCTACTTCGGAAAAAGTCATGTTTATATTTTCCTCTTACGTTTGAGCATACGTATACAAGTCATTCAAAGGCAACTCACTGCATAAATAAATACTACTATTAAATCACGAAGCATTGAGTAACTTTCATTTTATAATCAAACTTTTCAACAATTTCCTAGTTGTTGCTCCTCAAAGATGAGAAACGCCTACAATTAAACAGATTACTACTGAACTATGATACTACTTCAAACTATTTTAAAATCTTTGAGTAGTATATCACCCGACTATAGTCAGGCTATTTACATAACATTTACAATGTATGGTAGTTATGCCACCTTTTTAGCAAGAAAATCCTCTGTGTTAAGTGCATTAAAACTCAAGAAAGTAATTATTAAGTGTGAATTGCTCGCAAGATTATCGCGAAGAACACTACTCAGACTTTTTCGTGTCTCCAAAGACACCCTATATATATGCGCTAAGAGGATTAAATATACAAATCCCAACCCCTCCACGTAATATCATTCAGTAACAGCTCAAATGCCACCTGTTATCTCGGAAAAATAATAAGTGAGGGTATCATTGAATTTTATAACTATTATGTAATGCAACCTATATGTATGATAAGTATGCTTCAGACTTAATTAGGTTTCATTCGGGTTTTCTATAATCAATACGGCGAGATATTTTCAAGATGTAGAAAGAAAGTTGGATTGACTTTATTTCACCTGATATAGTTAGTATAAGTTAAAATTATTTTCATGGGTTACTTGACAAACTACCTGGAAGTACAAGAAAATGAATGAGTCTGAAGACTACAGACAACTGATAATTATTTATGATGAGGTCTAAAAAAACAACAACAGTTAACAATTATGACTCAAGTATCTCAGATTTTGTTATGCATTAAATAAGACGCATCCAGTCAGCCGTAAATCTATACAAGTAGTGAATTATTTATTTATTTGTTTCTTTGCTTACAATAGTTTTGTCTTAGGCATAAGCTACTACTTCAACTACTTGAACATAATCAGATAGTTAAGTAGGTGTGACAAATAACAGACAGTTGTTGGGCGTGTTTTTCACCTATTTGCAAAGTCAACTTAATGTTTCACAATTGAATTTGTAAAAATCTGATATCATTGAATCAGTTGTAGCTCATTTTGTGTAGAAAAATGAGTTTAAATGTCTCAATAAAATGCTGTTTAGTAAGCGTAAGCAAAGTGTATGAAAGAACAATACCCTTTGAAAACGCTACATTTCTTACATTCATATTTCCATTTCATATTTCGCTTCTATAATAATTTTCGCCAGTTTCTTTTGTTGTTGTAAAGAATTCGCAATTATAGCAAGAAAATAAAAATTTTACAGCTTTCACTGTGAATTAAATAGTAGTTAATAGTGTTGTCATACTCTTTTCTGGATAATTTCCACTTGGTTCAAATATACTTTTTATGAGTATGTTAATGACTTAAAGTTAAACATAACTTTTTTTGTATAATTCACTCTGTACATATTCACATGTAAGTAAGTAATTAAGTAAGGTGTCATAAGATGTTTCAAGTGTGTTCTCCTCTTTTATCCTTTAATGACATGCATCATAAACATGTGTATGTTGACAGGAACAAAAGGCATAAAAGAAGAAAGGAAGAGAGTGTTTCTGTTACTTCGCCTTCCTTGTAATGAAATGAATTTCCTATTTTATACTGTAATAGGACAAAGTCAGATATTACTATTCATTTTATTTAACTTATCTTCTTATCCATTTCCGATGTTGAAAACAGATTAGAAGTAAATGAATCACTTTCATGTTCAATACATGTAGTGTAATAAATACCTGCATTGTTTTATTTTCTCTTGAGAAACCCTACACATACTTCTCAAAACAAATGTGTGTTTTCAAAAAGGAGGTTAGAAGGTGAATTTAGAAAGACAGTATTTGTGAGAATCTTTTTGCATTCACTGTTTGTATTTCGTTGAAAGTAGAATTCCAAAAGTATATCTTCAGTATTTTAGAAGATTTATCCCATATTTATGTTTTGTCTTTAGTAGTTCATACTAACTCTAGGTGAAATAACCATGAGCAGACTAAATGGTGCTCGGGAGAAACAAAACTGAGAAAACCAAGCAGGCGTTTTACAGATTCTCGAAGATAGGCATACTTACCGGAGTCTACCAGTTGCCATATTTCTTGACTTGAAGGCGGCATTCGACCACGCTAACCGAGAGTTGTTGTGGCATAGTTTGTTCGTAAAGAAAGTGTTGAGAAAGTATGTCACACTAATTACGGGACTCTACTCGAGCTCATGCAGTCATGTAACGGCTTATGGACAGTCTTCAACTGAAGTGGTGGCAACTAGCGTCGATCTTCCAGGATTTCCACTGTCCCTATTTTCGTTTACTGTTATCATAGATGTACTCATAGAGTTGACCCTAACTGACTTCAGTGACTTTGGAATTGACTTTCACCAGGGAACAGCTTTGCTAAATTAGAGTATACCAATGATATTGTCCTCCCAGGTGAAGACGCTGATAAAATACAGAGTCTTCTAAACATCTTGGGCAGAAATGGTCGAGTGATCGATATTCGATTCACTTCTGTCGGATGTAAGGTAATGCTGCAGGACTGGACCAAATAGACTCCTAGCTTTAAGATAGGCAGGAGTAAAGTGGTGGAGCGTGTTCACCACTTTATTTATTTGGGAAGTTGCATTAGCCCTAATAGGTTGATTGTTGATGAAATCCCACTACAGATAATCCTTGCC